TAGCAGCACTAGATAACTAAGACAGACATTCAGTTTATTTCTAATATATTTTGCCACAATAAATGATACTACACTGAACATTCAAGTACATTAATACTCATATATGTTTGGGACTGTTTCTACAGGTCAGCTCTGACACTAGGAATGATTCTGGTCAGTTCCAGGTGTAGACCTTAACTGTCTTGGTAGCTTCCACTTCTTCCCTCTTGGAACACTTATTCTTGAGACATTTTCTCTCTGAACCTAGACACCATGCTCTGGGAAGCCCAGTGCACATGGTGGGGCCATATACAGACACTTTGATTAACAGTCCCCGCTGACAGCCAGCCATGTTGGATATCTAGCCCAGTTGAGTCTTTAGATGACTGTAGCCCCAGCTGACATATGACTACAACATTACAGGAGATCCCAAGCAAGAATCACCCAGCTGAGCCCAGTCAACCTACAGAACCAGGATTGATAATAACAAATTTTTGTTTTAAGATACTAAGTTTTGAAGTAATATGTTATGCAGCAATAGATAACTGGGACACTTTCTATTTGTCCACCTGTTTTATCCCCCACCCCTTGACTTCTTTTGTACTGTCTGGATATGTTTTATTATTGCACTTCACTTTCTACTTGTTCAATAGTTACATAATTTCACTATTATTTTAATCATTATATGAGTGATCACAGTATGATCCTTACATAACGAAATCTTATATACTTTCATGTATTCCTGGACAATGCAAAAACCTAAAAACACTTTAACTTCACTTATTCTGCTCCTGACCTATATGTTATTGATGGGATGGATTTTAATTAGAAGTATATATTATTATTATTTTATGTAGTCAATATTCATTCCACTCTACCCATGTATTTATTCTTTCTATTGCTTGTCATTTGTGCTTACATCTATGACCTTCAATCTGGAATCATTTTCCTTCTGCCTGAAGAACAACCTTTATTATTTTCTTTAGCGTGGGTCTGCTAGTGACAAACACTCTATCCTTATTTCACCTTCATTCTTAAAGGCTGTTTTTGCTGGGGATAGAAAAATTGACAATTGTTTTCTTTCAGCTTCCATTTTTTCTTT